GTGTGTGTGTGTGTGTGTGTGTGTGTGTGTGTGTGTGTGTGTGTGTGCGTGTGTGTGTTTGTATGTTTGTGTGTGTGCGCGTGCGTGCGTGTATGCGTGCGTGCGTGCGTGCGTGTATTCGTGCGTGTGCGCGTGCGTAAGTGCGTACCTATGTGCGTGTGCGTGTGCATGTGTGTACCTATGTGCGTGTGCATGTGTATACCTATATGCATGTGCGTGTGCATGTGCGTACCTATGTGCATATGCGTGCGTGAGGTGAGTCGGTGTGTAGGTGCTTCTATTCGTAGGCCACATAATGCCGTGATGTGGATGAATTGGGCGATGGCTGAAGCTAGCTGTACTCTGCTTCATGTACGCGTGTAATACGCACACACACGCGCGCGCGCGCGCGCGCACATACACACACACACGCACGCACGTACGCGCGCGCACGGCACGCACGCACCCACGCCACGCACACACACACACACACACACACATACTATCACAATATATATATATATATATATATAATATATATATATATACGCACAAACACTACCATACAGACACCACGCCGCGCGCACACACACACACACACCACACAGCACACCCCACACACACACACACACACACGCCCGCGCGCAGCGGCGCGGCCCCCCCCCGGGGGGGGGGGCCCGGGAAGCCCCCCCAAAAAGAAAAAAAACCGCAAACCCAAACAAAAACCCCCCCCCCCCCCCCCCCCGCCCCCCCCCCCCCGCGCCCCCCCCGCCCAAACCCCCCCCCCCCGAAAAAATAGAGAACCCCCGCGCAAAAAAGCCCCCCCGACGAAAAAAAAAAAAAGAACCACCACACACACACACACACACCACAGCAACACAATGAACGTCAGTGCCATTAGCATCGCACCGTTCTAATGAATACATATAGAGAGATATAGGATGAATGGTTTTTTTCTCAGCCTCAATGACAACGCCCTGAAGGATGCGGGAGTGCTGAGCGTTGTAGAATCGCTAGAGCTTCATCCTCAGCTTTCCTGCCTCAACCTTAGCGAGTGTCAGATTGGAGATGATGGCATCAAAGCCATCTCCAGGCTTCTTCCACCCTGCAAGGCGCGACCAGGTAAATGAGTGAACGTGTCTCTCACTATAAGTAAAATGCTAGATCTATATTTGTTCCTAACTTTCGGTTTACTCGCATTCTTTAGCATCCATTCGTACAATTTGGTTCTCCAGTTTGCTTCTCTCTCTCTCGCCCTCTATTGTTCTGTCACTGCCTCTCTCTCTCTCTCTATCTCTCTCTCTCTCTCTCTCTCTCTCTTCTCTCTTCTCTCTCTCTCTCTCTCTCTCTCTCTCTCTCTCTCACTTTCTCCCTGTCTTTCACTATCTCGCTCTCTCTCGCTCTCCTTCCCCCACACTCTCTCTCTCTCGCTCGCTCCCCACTCTCTCTATCTCACCCACTCTTTCTATCTCCCCAACTCTCTCTCTCGCTCAATCTCTCTCTCCCGCTCTCTCTCTCTCTCTCTCTGTCTCTATATAGACCCGTCGCGCTCTCTCGCTCTCCTTCTTTCTCTCTCCATATCTCTGTCTCGTGATCTATCGCTGTATAATTATCGATTTATCGCTCTCTTTATAGATCTGTTTCTTCTTGTTTCCCGTACTCTTGCACACTGCCCTTGTCACTCACATGCTCAATCCTGCTTCTCTCTCTCTTTTTTTGTCTCTCTCTCTCTCTCTCTCTCTCTGGCTCTCTCTCTCTCTCTCTCTCTCTCTCTCTCTCTCTCTC